ATTCGTCCTTAACCTTACATCAGTGTTGACAGTGTTGGGCTTTAAGGTCCCGCTTTGTGTGCTAACACATCCAGAGTCATTTGAATGATGTGGTCAAAGTAGTTGCACTTCTCACGTCAGTCAGAAGTTAAATGTTCCTCGTTTCTGCTTCCCAGGAATGTGGAATCCCAAAGCACTTCGGTCTGTTTTATGCCATGGGAACTGCTCTGATGATGGAGGGTCTGCTCAGTGCTTGCTACCACGTCTGCCCCAACTACACTAACTTCCAGTTCGGTAAGCCTGAGCCAGTAGAGTCTCTGTTTCAGGTTGTGTCTCATATCCACAGGTTAGAGCTGCTGACTCGCAGTGAAGGCGACAACGCTGCCGTTATTTATTCTAAACAATCTGCAACAGTCTGATGTCCCTCTTCCTCCTCTTTTTGTGATTGTTTGAGGTATTTGAACCTTCTCTTTTTGTTTTGCAGACACCTCCTTCATGTACATGATTGCTGGACTTTGCATGTTAAAGCTGTATCAGAAGAGACACCCCGACATCAACGCGAGTGCTTACACAGCCTACGCCTGCCTGGCTGCCGTCATCTTCTTTTCTGTGCTGGGAGTGGTAGGTGCACACACAGTTACATATATATATATTTCCTGATAGAGCATGCACAGACATCTCTTAATGCTGCTGTGTTTGCAGGTGTTTGGGAAAGGAAACATGGTGTTCTGGATCGTGTTCTCTGTGATCCACATTCTGGCCACAATGCTGCTGAGCACTCAGCTGTACTACATGGGCCGATGGAGGATGGGTAAGATCACAGCAAGCGACCTCTCTCATCTTCAGCGGCTGTAGTCATATGTTCTACTGTTATACTTTCTCCAATTTGAAACAGTAGTTTGTTGCAGAGGAGGAACGGGATGATTTGAAAGTGTCACCCTGACGTGTTTGACTGCACCTGACTCTCACCCGTATGTTTGTGTCAGACTCCGGGGTCCTGCGCAGGATAGTGAACATCATCTACACAGACTCCATCAGACAGTGCAGCGGACCGTTGTACATTGTGAGTAAAAAAAAAAACCCAGAGAATTCTCAACATGTTGAAGTACTGTTGTGGACTGAATCGTGGAGATATGATTGTTTATCATTTAAATAAAAAAAACAAAAAATTCTGCTTTTATATTTTAGAGATAGGACAGTGGATAGAGTCAGAAAGAGAGAGAGCCACAGGTCGGAATCAAGCCTGGGCTGCCCGTTTGAGGGCTATGACCCTCGTACATTGGGTGCACGCATTAACCACTAGGTTACCAGCGCCCCACAGCGCCACTTTGTAACATCTTTTCTCCCTCATGACGTCATAATCATGCGTTCAAAGAAAACAGTGGTAAACTGTTCAGTAAATAAAGCTGACAGGATGCTCTTGAGATTAAAAAGACTCCTCGATTAAAAGTCTGAGAGCTCGTCTAGCGTACTTTAGCCAGTAGAAGTGCAAACTCCACAAAGTGAGAACAAACAGAACTAAAAAGAGCGACCCAGCTGCCCAGAGACTGCACATTGTGGACTTTGTCTTCTCTCTGGGAGAACCCTCCAAAAACAGACATATGCCAGTGCAGCTTTTTCTGGACTTGACGGTAAACTGCTTCAACATGTTTCCTGTTTCCAAACATCTGTGCCCTTCTCTCTGTCTGACAGGACCGGATGGTTCTTCTCGTGATGGGGAACATAGTCAACTGGTCTCTGTGAGTAAACTTCATTTAACTCCATCACTCTGCAGTTAGAAGAGAACAAATAATATTTATTTGAACTGTTGAAGGCTCAAAGATCAAATGCTTAAATCTTTTCTCTCTCTCTCTCTCTCTCTCTCTCTCTCTCTCTCTCTCTCTCTGTGTAGGGCGGCGTACGGCCTCATCGAGAGACCCAACGACTTCGCCTCCTACCTGTTGGCCATCGCCATCTGCAACCTGCTGCTGTACTTTGCCTTTTACATCATTATGAAGGTTTGTCTTTGTCCCCGTTTTTAAGTCACATCTAGATGTATTAACTTGCATAATGGTATCTATATGTGAAGCTGTTTCCTGTGTGTGTGTGTGTGTGTGTGTGTGTGTGTGTGTGTGTGTGTGTGTGTGTGTGTGTGTGTGTGTGTGTGTGTGTGTGTGTGTGTGTGTGTGTGTGTGTGTGTGTGTGTGTGTGTGTGTGTGTGTGTGTGTGTGTGTGTGTGTGTGTGTGTGTGTGTGTGTGTGTAGATGCGGAGCGGTGAGAGGATCCAGTGTCTGGCGTTGGTGTGTATTCTGTTCACAGCGGTGGTCTGGGGCTTTGCACTGTATTTCTTCTTCCAGGGACTCAGCACCTGGCAGGTCAGTAGCTCACACACACATCTTAGAAGCATGAACTGTTCAGCCTCTGAGAGCACGTTAAACGAACATCTGGATGATGTGGTGCGCGCTTACTGTTTGTGTTTTCCTCTCCTGACGCAGAAAACTCCAGCCGAGTCTCGTGAGCATAACAGGGAATGCATCCTGCTGTCCTTCTTTGACGACCACGATATTTGGCACTTTCTCTCCTCCATCGCCATGTTTGGATCCTTCCTGGTATGAGATAGTTTCATCTTTTTGTTCATCAGTTAACTCAAGACATGCAGCTCACATACTTCACACTCATACAAATTGAAAAAACAGTCTCCTTCTTGTGATTGTTCATGATATTATTGGTGTTTTAATGCATTTTTATTTGAGTTACCATTTTGTGTGGGTAGGGTCAGGATGATGTGAAAATGGTTCCTCCTCTGAGGAGGCGATTTGTGAGGTGGTTTGAGAACCACTGATTTTGGGCAACAAGACATAAGTACTAAAAATAAATGTTGTCCCCTCTCCATTTCCCCCCCAAGGTCCTCCTAACCATGGACGACGACCTCGACACCGTCCAGAGAGATAAGATCTTCGTCTTCTAGACGTGTCCGATCTTCCTCTCCGCCTTATCGCCCTCGTCTCTCGCTCTGTTTGCGTCTCATTGTGTACTTGAAAGAAGCACAGCCAGTAGCCTGTTATTCTCCAGGCTGTACAGTGGGAACCACTCTGCCTCTCATCAGTCAGTCAGGGGGCGGGCTGCTGGGGGGGGGGGGAGTAGCCCCGCCCCCAACCTTTGAATGGACACAAGTGTGCCAACAAAGAGCTGGATCGACTTAAACGTGACGCTGAAGTGTTTCATCCTCTTGCTGCCATCATCAGTTTAACTGTTGTAATCAATGTTTACTTACTGCTGACGACGTAATTAACAACGAAGACTGAATTAAAATTAAAATAATATATCGAAATTAACTTATTTTATACTGCCCGCATTACATTTGACCCTTCAAGTCAACACAGCTTTTGAAATGACCGTTTGTATGCTGTTTCTATGCTCTGTGTGTTTGTACAGGTACAGGTGTGTGTGTGTGTGTGTGTGTGTGTGTGTGTGTGTGTGCGTGCGTGCGTGCGTGCGTGCGTGCGTGCGTGCGTGCGTGCGTGCGTGTGTGCAAACGTATAAATGTGAGAACATGAACTATGTCTGTGGCCTTTTTATGTCCTAATCAAGTTAGTCACATACTGTGCTCTGATTGGTCAGATCATTCAGCTAACCGTCCCTCTCATTGGAGGATAATAATGGTGATGATTGTACCTCCTTCTTGACTGTCCTAAGGTCTGATCATCAAAGGTTTATTTGCACTGTACTGTATAAAAGAAAAAGGTGAATTAAATGTCAATATTGCAATGAGCGGTTACTGAATAAAGGACTCATTTTCAAAACCTTTTTGTGACTCTTTTCTTTGAACCAGATTTAACCAGAGCGATGCCTTGAATAAAAACACCTTTGGGAGACGAGGGCTACAAACTAGGGTGTCATGATACTAGAAGGGAGGGAACAAGGCTTAGGTAACATAGTGTTGAGGGGACATATTGCTGAGGGATTGTAGGGAGGAGGGAACATAGTGCTTAGAGAACATAGGACTGAGGGAGCATAGGGTTAAGGGAACATAGGAATGAGGGAACACACAGTAGGGTTAAGGGAACATAGTGCTGAGGGGACATAAATGAAGGACTACAAAACTTACAGATGGCGTCTCTACAATGAAATGATCCCATGAAGGGTCTCACCTCCAGTCCTGCTCACACACACACACAACGGAACACTTCTCCCAGCTAATTTAAGCCAATCAGCACGTCTTCACACCTGTCTCAAATAGAAGTGGTCCTAATTAAACTGTCAGTGCACAAACACAAAATAAACACATTTAAATATGAACCAGTAAATACATTATTTTAAACACAATTTAACCATTTGTCCTTTGATTTCAACAACACAATATGATAGTAGTGAAACAGTATATATACTTTTATTTTAATTGAATTACGGAATATGATAATCATCTCCACCATATTCAGTTTTTTTCTGATGCACCTGTAAAAAATTTTGAAGGACAAAAATAGAAAGTAGAAGTCTAAGGCAGTCAATATTGAAAACTATTGTTTTAAACTCCCAGGGTGTCATGATACTAGACAAGTGTCTCACCTAAGGACACATCAGACATGTGGCTGCAGGAGCTGGGGATTGAACCCCTGACCTTCCAGTTGAGAAATGACTGACTCTACTTACTGAGCCACAGCTGCCCTCAAAGTGTGGCATGCTGTCTAAAAGGCACAAATACATTGTCCACTTTTGTTGGTTGCCAATGTATTTGTGCAATCTAGACAGTATCAGCTCATTTGCTCATTGTTCGTTGGAATCTTTATGAGGCGCCAAAAGGGACTTGACAAATGTCAGTATGTGTCGACCTGTGACCACCGCTGCACTCGCTCTCGTCATAGCAGCTTTGGGTTCAAGATATGACTGATGTTCTGTAAGGGTTTTTTTTACTTTTTAATTCTATCACTATTAAAATAATGGAGATTGTATAGTTTTATAATCACATGTCTGAAACATTTTGACAACTCGACTTCATACATGCACCTTCATGATGACAACAGCATCAGAGCAGAGATCACATGAATGTATAACAAACAACATTTATTAAAATATCTTCTAGAAAAATACAGAATTTACACAAATATATATTTATGCACAAAAGACTTGTTTTCTTCTTCCTGCACAAACGCTAAGTTTACAACACTTTACATGTCACTTCCCCCGCTCTGCAGACATCAGGAATGTGGTCAAAATAACTAAGTGCTTAAAACTCTGACTTCTGTTTCTGTCAGAGAACAAAAAAAAATGAAGAAAAACATGTTTTTTACAAAGCACAAAGCAGCGGCACAGAAACAAATGTGACCTGTCTTGAACTCAAGCTGACCTGAAGCACTTTGTATGTTCATCCTGCAGCAGCGTGTAGCTTCACAACTGAGAAGTACAGTAAGCACACCTTCTCTCTGATTGTCTGGTCTTATTACGCCCTTAAACTTATAAAGTTATAAACTTTAAACTGTAAAAAAAATATTCAAGTACTCGAAAGGCCTCCTGTTTGCTCACACAGCGGCATGTTATGATGGAGGAAATAGGTCCTCGGCACTCAGACATGCTGTTCCCTTAACTGCCACATCCTCAGCTGTCATCTCATCCTCCGATCACAGCAGAGGACAGCAGGCGCTCCTTTTGTCTTACAAAGCACTGACTGAAAGAGGGCCCGCGACTCTCACACAAGTCCATGTGTGTGTAAACATCCCAGCGCTGACCTGTAGCAGTCTGTAATCACTGAGCGTGGAGCCCTCAGTAATGATACACCCTGATCTGGTTGTTGTCGTCCAGGCCCAGCTGGAGCAGGCCGCTCTTGGTGGAAGGAGGCTGAAAGCGAGTGAAGAGAGGTCTGAAAGGCTGAGTTAAAGACAACACCAGAAACAAGGCAGTGTCAGAGCTCTACAGTCACTTCTACAGAACTATACACAGTAGTCAGTAATGTATAAGGATACATGCTGGGGTCTTTCTTGCGCATCTCCAGCCACCTCTTGTTGCCGTCAATCAGCCCCTGCAGCCTCTGACCGTCCACCTCCACTGACTTCTGCACCGTCCGCAGGCTGCGACCGAGTTCACTGAGATCAGCATAAACACACACATTTCAGGATTGTTATTGGTGCATGTAAGACAGTAGTACTGTATGTGTGTGTGCTGAGGTGATGGGATAACTGAAGGTGTATTGCAGGCTACCTAGCTGGAGTGTATGCTGAGTAAGCAGAGGTCGGCCTCATGGTGCTGGAGGAGTCCATAGCTGCTCCTGCAGAACAGAACACATGGAGATTAATAACAGAGTCCATGGCTCTTTATTGCTGTTCAATCACGCTAAAGATAATGACTTGTCTGTTTCCATACTGGGGAATATTTGGCTCCATCGGCTGTTGATGGGGTCCTCAGAAGCCCTCAGCCCACTGCTGATGGGTGTACTGAAGAGAGGGGTGGCTGCAGCGGGGCCTTGGGGAGCCCAGGCCCAGGGCGGCTCTGAGAGCATCTGGGGCATGACTGGGGCAGAGGTGGAGATGTTGGAGGTAGGTGCTGCAGTGGAGTGAGGGTGAGACAGCGGTGGAGGGAAAGCTGTATAAGATGTGGCGATGCTCTGTCCCTGGGCAAGTGAACCCAAAGCACCCAGGACGGAGTTCAGCTGGCCTGAGATCTGCTGCAGGGACTCGGCTAACTCCTGGACTTTGTCCGGCACAGTGGGATGAGCTCCTAATGAGACAGCGAGGAGAACATAACCTCTGCATCACTCGATGATACAATAATCGAGAAAGATAAGAAATAAAAATACTGAATACATGATCGTGAATAGTAAAATGTGTCACCTGTTCCGTCCACTGGATCGACAGTGCTGCTGAGGTCAGACTCGCTCACATCAAAGGTCACTTTTCTTTCTCCAGCCAGCCGTGACAAATCTTCAAACAGTGGCTAAATGAAGAAAGCAACAGGACAAAATGCAATTAATAACAGCTTTGATTTGCCTCTAAAATACAGTTTCTGTTAGTTAACGTATTTCATTAAAGAAGACCCTGGGGGTGCGTCCCATTCCTCCCTACCTGCTGGAGGTGTCGTAACCTTTCCTCAGTCACCCCTCCTTCCCTGTCGGGGTCCTCGGAGGAGCTGGTCTGGGCCGCCTGAAGAGTCGCCTGTCTCTCCATCAGCCGGCTGCTCGCCTTCTCAAGGAAGAGTTTGGTTTTATGGATCGTCGCTCCTTGTGAGGAGATGTAGCGTCTGAACCTGGATACATTGAGGTGGGAGATAAGAGGCGGGGTTAAATCCACATTGTACCCAACATTTAAGAGAAAACGTAGAACCGTTATCTTCATGATTGTTGTCTTTTGTTGTCTAAAAAGCTAACAATGACAGGCCTGCTTTAAACTGTAAACTCCCCCAGAGTTCAGCACCTGGTCTTGGTATTGTTAATTCTCTACATGCCCCCCTTTGTCAAATTAATCCCATTGTTATGGGACCCTAAACTTCCACTGATACTCCAATGATGCCCAACTAAATACCTACATCACTCATTCCACCCTGACCACCCACCTTACTGTGATTAAATCGTGGTCTGCTTTCTGTTCCCAGTGTCAGAGTCTCTCTCCCTCTACTTACTCGTCCAGGCTGCTTTGGCTGTCAGGCACAGGGGAGAGTGGGGGGTCGTCGAGGTCTTCCACATGAAGCGATGAGTCTTTCCTGCCATTGGAGGGCGCTGTGACCTCTGGTTTCTCTGCTTTCTTGCCGTCTTGTCTATGTCCTGGTCTGGTTGAGGCACTCCCTCCTTCTCCTTGTTCAATCTCACTAAGTTGACAAAACAAGACCACAAACAAAAAATAAGATATCATTCCTTTAAATGCAAACCGCCTTGTTGAGTGACACTGCATATTATCCATTCTCTTTGATGAAGTCATTACCCGGGCTGAAACTGAGGTAAAAACAAGGGTTGTCGTGATAATTTAAACTTTGACACGATATCAATACCTTTTTTGATACCATGGCAACCAAAAATGTAGTCCTAGGCTACAACATTTTTGCACACTGTCCAAGTTGCACAAATACGTAAAAAAAACAGTACAGAAACACTGCAAATATATTTGTGAAATGTAGACAGTGTCTCCTCAGCTGTCACCTTCTCTGCTCTCTGTGTGTTTTAAAAGTACAATCGGTGAGATATGTACATAATGAAATGATAAAGTGACCTTACTATATGATCAGACATTAAAGAAACATGCTATGTTGAAGTGCTGGCTTCTCTGACAACAATGCAGCAGCCAGTATGTCCTCCTTCTAACTTTAGATTCTGGTCCTGAATGCTCTGGATTTGTTTGGACCAGGCACCCCCACATGGCCGTTTTGGACCCCCCTTGGTTTTCCAGATATGAGAAAATGACCAGTTATCAGGTCCAACCAACAGGTGTTGCAGCGATGGAAGCGGGCAAGAGAAGTGGTTCAGATAGAAGTGATTGTACCCGACCTAAAAAGCCTCTGCATGTTTCTAATAAGCTCCACGAGCAGAAACGTGCTCAAACTAGGATCAATATTGGAGATGCTTTTGAAAAATGGAGAGAGGTTAGAACACAGAAAGATTTACAGACTGATGCAGAGCTGGATAAACACTGAAGCTTCAGTGAGCATGGACTCTAGAGAGGTGGAGGTGGGGGGACAGCTCTCTCCAATGTTTAAAATTTGGACTGCAGTACCCATTTTAAACACTAGGTGTCAGAGTAACATATTGCTCTTTCTATTGCATCTTTATATGGCACTAAAAGGACTTGTGAAATGTCAATATTTGCCAGGTATTGAAGTTGAATGACCAACAGAGATTGAATAGTGGCATTGAAAAGTATCAAAATTCTTGACAACCCTTTGTCAAAACCTTCAGCTAATGGAAATTCATGAAGGCTACAATACCCGATCCTGCGACTAAGATGGTCACATCTCTCCTGTAGCAGCGCCACCTTGCTCTCCAGTCGCTCCTTTTCCTCCTTCGCCTTCCTTCTCTCTTCCCTGGCTTTGTCCCTCTCCTCCCTCAGCCTCTCTTTCTCCTCTTTGGCCTCACTTCTCTCCTCCCTCGCTCTCTGCAGAAGTTCTCTGGCCTGATTTTTCTCCTCTCTCGTCCTCTTCAGCTCGTCCTTCAGCTGGTCTCTCTCCTGGATCAGCTGTGGTAAAGCCTGCAGACACACACGAGTGAGGAAATGTGGGGGTTTAGAGGTGGACCATTGGATGGATATAGTCCCTGTTCTCATTATAAAAAGTGACATTTCCCACCTCTAGCTGGCTCTCCAACTCGTCCTCTTCCTCCCCTAACTTCTTCCTTCTCCTCTTCAGATCTGCAGCCTGATAAGAGACGGAAATCATTAGTCCATGTTGTTGAGCTAAGTGTATCTGTGATACACAGTAAGTATGCATTACCCTTGTCTGCATGATGGCCTCCTGGTTCTTCAGCTCTTTGGTTCTTAGCTCCATCTGATCTACAAGATCCTGCAGCTCTGACTCCTAACAAAAGAAACAAGATGCATTCAATATCTGCAGGAAATTGTTTAGTGTTTTAGTGAGGTTGCTATGTAAAGTGACCATCAGTACTCTCATTCATACACATGTATACCCTGCGGGCACAGCAGCAGGAGCAACTTGGGGGTAGGTGTCTTGCTCAGGGACATATTGGACATCACTACTACTACTCATTAAAAAAAAATGAAAAAAGACACTGGCTCTGAGATAAAAACTCTAGGTGGACAGGGCCTTAGTCACCTTATTAAGAACACATTTGAAAAACCACTGAAGGACACAGACTGAGGCTCAGTGATGCCAAGTAGAAAGAAGCAAACCTATGAGCCAGCATCGCTACTGGACTTTGAAAAACAATGTTTGTAATCGCAGCACAAGTTCAGAGCTGCGTCATCAGAACAATAACTGTGTCCGTTGGGTGTCACCTTGCGGGAGTGCGTCAGCTCTATCTTTTGTATCTGTGAGTTGAGCTGCAGGCGGAGCTTCTCCAGTTGGACTGCGTGTGTCGCCTGGAGATGCTCTTTGTCCTCCTGCAGAGAGGAGAGCAAGCGCTCCTTCTGAAGAGTCTCCTGGGGCACACAATCATGTAACCAATTATTTGACTTAATGGGCATATCAAAACCCGTTGACACCTGAATACATCTCTTTCAATTCCCCAAAACAATGTATAAACATCCTCACTTCATCTAGGTATTTCTCTCTGATGCTGTTCATCTCCCTCCTGTGGTCCTCCCTCAGCTGCTCCAGCTTCCTCTCGTGATCCCGCTGCACTTCATCCCGCACTTCCTGAAGAACGTCAGCCAGCTAGACAGAGCGAAGGTCAGTTCAAAGCAGAGTTATGATCAGGTCAATGGAAAAACCTCAACACGATGATCAGGATGAGGAAACATGTTGGTTGAGTGTGGGTGTTTGTGTCCTCTAACCTCTCGGTGGTACTCTGCCAGCTGCTTCTCAGGTCTCGTACCCAACAGCTCCCTCCTGCTCTCTGTGATTTTAACCTTTACACAGAGAAAGAGAACAAACACACAGACAGCCACGTGTAAACAAGGTCATTATTCTGTGTCCCTCAGGTCCACTGCCTTCATGTGTCAACAGGATAGAGCAGATTAAATGTTTTTGTTGAAGGAACATTTAAAGATGGAGTGATTGGCTTTTTCCCCAAAAAAATAAATAAAGGGTGGCGCAGTGGTTAGTGCGCGCGCCCTATGTATGGAGGCTGCAGTCCTCCAAGCGAGCAACGCAGGTTTAACTCCCACCTGTGGCTCCTTTCCCGCATGTCATTCCCCTCCCTCTCTCTCTCTCTGATTTCCAATTCTATCCATTTTCCTGTCACTCCATTAAAAGCATAAAATGCCCAAAAATAAATCTTAAAAACTAAAATAAAGACTTGTACAGAAGTAATGACGTTTCTGGGTGGGGAGCTGGTGATTTTCCTCGAGCCAATGATGGCGCAGCAGGTGAGTTTAGGAGTGGATACAATTCAGCGATTAGACACGATACAAAACCCTCAAATATGACGGATGTGGACGTAGCAGCAAAGAAGAGAAAATAAAATCACAGTGAGATGAAACGCCGAGCGGATAAAAGCTTGTTCTAAAACAAGGGTGAACCTTGGGTTTAACCCGTGGGCGTGGAGTTGGCCTGCTTCCTGCTGGACAGGCAGTTGACAAACACTGGCCCTTAGCTTGTGCTAGCTTGCGGTATTTTGCAGTGTAGGTACAAGCATTAAACATACACACTACATCCTGCAGTGAGTGAGAGCTTCTGGGACGATGAGCCCAGGAGGAGGGGTCCAGTTTGAATGTTGTGTTACAAGTTAAAGCAAACATTTCTACAGACCCCACCTTTAATCAGATCTGATATAAAAAAAAATGTTTGCTTAAAAAGAAAGGGAAATCATAATCTTAAGTTGTTTTCTTTATGAGACATGGCAAACTGGAAAGCGGTCTGGAGGCAGTCATGCCAGATGCAATAACAAATGCAGAAACTGACATCATCCCCATTCACCTCCTGTTTTAGAGAGCTCAGTTTCTCCTCCCTCTCCTCGTGGAGTCTCTTCTTCTCCGCCTGCAGGTCCTCCTCCAACTCTGCCTCCAAACGCTCAACGTCCCTCCTCTTCTGGGCCTCCAGCTTTTCACGCTGCGCTGCTCGCTCTTCCTCCAGAGTGATCCGTAATTCCTTCAGCTTGACGTCACTCTCGTCCCTGAGCACAGGAACCACACATAAGAGTTATCATTGGGGCTGTAAGAGATGTACTATGGATGGTTTTGTATTCCTTTGGTCTATAAAGTAACACTTCTCAAATGCTTTCAGATCTATGAATATATTTAGTTATTAATAATAAGGTCATCAACAAGCAGGAATTTACTAACTTCCTTAGTGCTTTACAACACTCCTGAAAAACTGCTGACGTTTTCAGGCTGAGCTGCATGTGTGAACGCAAACAGACACATATTTCACTCTGACTTTATCCGGAGTTTCTCCTGCCAGCCCCCCTAGTGTTTTTTCCTCATACAGTCAGAGCGAGCAGATGTGAGAATGCAGCAGAATATAATCAGGAGAATTCATCTGGAGCAAGTGGGAGGGGGTGGTAACGTTTAAATCCTGTGATAGGTGCACGACCACAGACTGTCTGCACAAGATTGCGACGATCACTGTACACGATGACAAGGATAGTCTCCCGCTGTGAGGTGCATGTGTGAACAACCAGATCAGGAGGATTTCAGAGGCAGTCCTACTGAAATTCTCGAGACATTTTCAGGAGTGCATTTGTGAAAACAGCTCTTGATGGTCAGGGTTTTTGATCTTTTTTTGATATCTTGAAATGAAGATGCATTTAATTGCCAAGCTAAAGCTGGCGGACATGTTGACGAGAACCCAGATGACCTGGAGCACTGACCTTAGCTTCTGTTGCTGCCTCTCCCTCTCCCCCTCGACAGAAGCTCGGATTTCCTCCAGCATCTGCTCAGACTCTTCGTTCAGCCTGGCCTCTTCTTCTCTCCGCTTAGAGAGGAGAAGCTGCCGCAGAGCCCTGCAGGGTTACAAGACACCGTTCATGAAGGGAAGTATGGGTAAGATGTAGGTGTATGTGCAAGTCCAAAAAAACAAACAGAAGCATTAGGACCCCAATAAGAATTAAAAACAATTCCCTCTAAGAGGTAAACGATGAAGAAAATACAACACAAAAATATTGTTGCATTTTGCAAATGTGAACACTGACACATTTTAAGAGTCCTTAATTCATAGTACTGAGTTTAGTGAAGTTAGGTTTGAAAGGTGGCTGTTATGTATCCGTCAAAGGTCGGTGTTATACTCTCTTTCCCTACCTCAGTCTTTCTTCACTCTCCTCCTTTAGCTTCCTCTCTTCTTCCTCCTCCTCTCCCCTCAGCTCCTCTCGGAGTAGTTGAATTCTCTTCTCCTTTATCATGAACATTTGCTCCTTCTCCTCCTCCGAGTCATGATCTGCCTTCCTCCTCTCCCTCTCCTTATCTCCTTTGCTCTCTCTAAGACTTCTCTCTTCCTTCTTCCTCTCCTCCTCCTCTTCCTCTTCTTCTTTCCTCTTTCTGTCATGCCGGAGTCTCCAGCCGAGTTCCTCATCCGGATGGCTCTCTTGGTTTTGTAAGGGGGATTCATTGTCTTCTCGTTGGGTGTTTGACGTGCGGACCAGTCGCCCTCTTGAGGTTTCAGGCCTCAGAAGCCCCGGGTGTGTGCCGAGGCCTTCGCTTTTCAAACGGAGCTCGACACCTTGATCTGAGTGCGACGAGTCGGAGAGGGAGGGTGAAGGGCTGGACTGGTGGAGCACGAGACGGTCAATATTCTTAGCGCTCTTCAAACTCCTGTAGTTGGAAAAAAAGGAGGTAATGTCAAACACATAGACACATCAGTGTGTTCATTTCTTGAATATCCACGGCAGTCTTTTTTTATAAAGTTGCAGTATGTTTACTCCAAAAAACGTAGACAACCTTGGTGCTATACAATCTTTGTAAGTGACAATTTCAAAGATGAATACAGCAACATAACCCTAAAGAAAAGGAAAAAGCCCTCAGTGAGGAACCCCCCCACCCACACTAATCCCAATGCTTTCAGGTATCGACAATGTTGATTCTATGACTACTCTTCCAGATGACCCCCACAACCCAAACCTGAAATGAGATTGGCAGCAAGAGACAGCACATCAACTTGGTTATAAAGTGGGCCCCTCCCTTCACCGATGTTTTGTCAAGTTAGGCTAATGACACCTCGGTAAGGCTCGACGATTTACTCCTGCATCCCAGAGCACCTCCCTCTGTACCAGCTCTCACCCCTACTCATACCCAACCACTTCTGTGTGCTACCGCATCCTTATGAGAAAAGCCAAACTAACAAAAACACACCGTACAACATCAGAAAAGAAAATCTAAGAGTCTGTAGAGGTGTGAGAAAGAGCATAAGGGAGGCAGATCAGAAAAGAAGGTGACATCTCCAGAAAGCTGAGTGATCCGCCTGTTCTGATCACACACGTCTTACCCTTTGAAAGCCTCGGCCTTCTTTGTTTTTCCCGCCTTCTCCTCTTCGTCTTCTGCTTCCTCCTTGTCATCTTTCTCCAGTGGACTGATCGTGCCAGACAAGTCATTGAGGTCCAGCATTTTCTCTGACAGCTTAAGGGAAACATTGCAAAGCAGGTTGAAGATAAACAGATGAAGACATGACGGAGCGTAGGTGTCGCTCTGCAACATGAGAGTACCTTTACATCTGTGGAGGATGAAGCCTCGTCCGTGTTCTTCCTGACCTCCGACTCCTGCTGAATCACACACAAACACCATCAGTGACGAGGTTACAGACACATTCATGCACATGAACACATTCATGCACATCAGTGAACAAGCAACACTCAACATTGAAGCGTGCTGCCTTTTACACAGAGTCACAGAAACACACAGCACGAGCACATACAAACACAAACACAGCGCCAAAACAGCGTGCTAAACGCATTCAAGCAATTTGAATGACTGACAGTAGTCTCTGAACACGGGCTGGAGGTTAGAGCTTTGTGTTTGGTCAAACGGGTCAAACTCAGCCTCTAGTTAAAGCAAGTAGGGCTCTATGATGTCCTCAAGGCAGGAAACAACATCACACTCCTCAAATGTTTTCAGATTTATAAATACTTTTAGCTCTAACAGGAAAGAAAGGAGCAAAGCTGAACAAACTGCATGTGTGTGTGTGTGTGTGTGTGTGTGTGTGTGTGTGTGTGTGTGTGTGTGTGTGTGTGCGCACAATGTAAGGTGTTTGATCAGGTTGTCATGGTGACGGATACTACACGATTCTGGTGAAAATCAAACGATTAATGATAAATGTTTGGACGTCACTGCAACAAAAATAGACGTCCGGGACAATATTAGGACACTTTTAATTTTGTTTTTAATGACTAAAAATCGTAAGCAAGCCCCTGCAAACTGAATCGAATGTGTTGCCAGTTTTTAGTCAAATATATAACTGGTACTTTTTCGAAACCATCAGTCATTGAAAACAACAGAGATTTTATCGTTTGAAAATGTGCTATTGAAAAGTTTTGAAATGTTTGACAACCTCAGTGTAAAAGAAAAATCAAGTTATTAGTAATAGTTGTAAATAAGATAGAGAATATGGACGAGCTGAAGTGGTGAAATAAGAAATAATCTGCCTCACCGACAAAACCAAAATGTGCTTACATGGTATAAAACCTGGATTTCATAGAGCCCTACATCAAACTATCAAAAGCCTGGACTGTCAATGGTGGAAAAAAAAGGGTCGAGACTTTCCAGTCCAGTCCTCAGGGGCTCACATAGATTTTGCAAGTGCGGATGCAGCCCCTAAGGCAGTGGATTCTGGGTACTACATGCACACACCAGGCAGGACCAGGGCTGGGGTCGGGTAGTGAATGCGGGGGTGTGAGCACACAGAGGCAACACCGAACCGTACCTCTGCCAGAGCGGGGCATTTATCGGTCACATTCTTCGTCATGCCAGCGAGAGTTTTTCTTTTTTGTTCAAGAGTTCTAAGGTCGCTCAGCATTGGTCGCACCCGACCCTTCCCGTCCTCAAAAACCTCCACTTCCTCCTCACTCTCTGATACAGGTGCGGGCTTAGCGGCTTCTAATTCCTCACCTACCTCCGATCCCTCCCCCTCTGTGTCTGCTCTCTCACTGTGCACCGACCTCTCATTCACCTCCTCCTCACTCTCTGTCAGCTTCCTCTGGCTCAGGGAGCATCTCTCCAAAGCCTCCCCGCTCTCAGTCTCCTCTTCCTCTATCTCCTTCTCAGTCTCCTCTTCCTCCTTTTCCTTCTCAGTCTCCTCTTCCTCCTTCTCCTTCTCAGTCTCCTCTTCCTCCTTTTCTTTCTCTTGCTCTCTTGTGCTTCCAAACTCTACCTCCTCTTCCTCACTTCCCTTCTGCCCTTCCTCATCGTCTATCCGTCGCTCATTCTCATCTCCCTCTTTGCTGTTATCCCCCTCCTCCTCCTCACTGCCTCCATCTTCACCACTTTTCTCCACATCTTCATCACTGCCTTTCTCAGATGAGGATTTTTTTACTTCTTTTTGCACCTCCTCTTCTTCCTTTTCTCCATCTTTGGTCACATCTTGCTTGTTTTCGATGCAACTTTCTACATCCGCCTCGCTGTTATTTTCCTCTCTTTCACCGGTCTCCTGGCTCGCACTGTTTTGCATTTTTTCGGACACTTCATCATCCCCTTCATCCTTACCTACATCATCACATTCATGGCATTCCTCTTCAACCTCATCGCTCTCTTTCTCCTCCTCTGCTTCTTTTTTGCTTTCTACAAACCCTTCACTACCCCCTTGCTCTTCCTCCATCTCATCCCCCTCTTCTTTGATGTTTCTCTCATCTGCTTCCTCATCCTGTGCTTCTTCTTTCTCCTCTATTCTTCCCTCTTCTGCTCCTCCTCCGCCTTCATCTTCTCCGCTCTCACTCTGCACATCGTCCTGCACCTCCTCCGCTGCCTCACTTAACTCCTCTGCCTCTTCCTGTTGGGCAGATTGTTCAGGTGCAGGTCTGACATGACCCGGCCCGTCCTCACTGACGGGGTTTCTGCTGCCAGCCAGTGAGGACAGGCGGAGGTTGCGGCCCCTCAAAGAGTCCTTGGTGGAGGGGAATAGGTAGAACAGTCCATCCGATCCGAAACAGAGGCACAAAGGAAGGCGTGCAGAGACACAGGGGAGATAAAAGAATGGAGGATGGCAGGTGAGGGAGGGAGGTTTAGAAAAAGATTGTGATTGTGCCTTAGAAGGGGGGGGGGGTCTTTACAGAATTCATGCAAAACTGACAGATCATGCATCTTTAAGAACAAAATGAAGCCCTTTCACACATGCACAAAGTCCTGAAAACTTCACAAAATGTTCAGTTTGAGCTTCATGTGTGAACGCTGAATTTTTCACCCCTAATTTATCTGGACATGTTCCTGTCAGCCTCCTAATAAAAATTCTGCAAGAAATCAGGTTGAGCCAATTTGTGGACACAGCAGGGGAAAATTCTAATCTGGAAAATTCACCTCGAGCCAGTGGGAGGTGGTGATGGCGTTTATATCCTGCAACCGTTGCACAACTGGATTTATCTTCTTTATAATATTTTATGCTCGCCAATATGTTTCCCTACACTCATTGGTTAAAGTGTGAATCAGATCATCATAGCACCACTATGTTGCTTGGTCGACCTTCTGGGGTTGAACAGATAAGATGGATCTTTATTAATCACGCAGGAAATTCTGGCGCAGGTTACACCAACATGAAAAGTACAACAAAAAGAGGAGCTTGAACTAGATGAAAGAAAACAGAAAAGTCAGCTCACTTGATGTCCTTTAACATTCTATAGTGTTGAATGCTGATGAAGGCTTTGTGCTGAAACACCTCGTTGATGATCTGTACACTGCTGCCCAGATTATAAAACGTTAAAGGACTTTGAGTGTGCTGACTCTTCTCTGTTTTCTTGAAAGTCTTTTTGCGGTCGTGCACCTGATGATTTGTTACTGTTCAGTGTGCTCCTTTTTCTGCAGCACGACTAGATAAAAGCATATTAGCAAACCACAAAGTATGACAAAACAAGTAAATAAAAAGACGCATGAGGACACAGAGTAACTCAAGCAAGCTGCAGCCCATGGCGGCGCCGGAACAGGACGAGGTTTTGTCGGGTAAAATGACTAATTTCCAGGAGTTCTAGGTTTAACTCCTCCAAGGAGGTGGATCCAAAAACATTACACTGCAGCGTCCTTCTACATCAACTCTTGCCTCCTGAATTTTCTAAAAGTTTTCAGTCGTGCATGTTTGAGAAGGGCTTCAGTCATGCAAGACAACCAACACTTACACCAAGAATACATCAGACAAACAAAACCATACAGAAAGCATGTATGCATGGAAAAATGTAACGCTCAAACACAGACACTCACACGAGAGAAGGTTTGTCGGATAAATATGACAAATGTAAATTTCTATTGACTTTTTTTTCTTCTTTTTTTTTAAAGCCAAAATGTGCAGAAGAGGTCGCTGAATACTTACACATTACAACCTTTACATCGTACGGATGTGATGTGGAGTATTTTTTAAGAACAAACAACAAATGCTTTGCCAACTTTCATGAATCAGGTCAGACTTTAGGAGTTGGATTTGGTTAGGAGTTAATGTTACTCAAATGGAGATGTTAGTATTTGTTGTTTGGACGGCATTGATTCATGCTGCTGGTTTTCAGACAGCAAAGCAGTAACAACGACAGTAGGACGACAGCAGGACAAAGAGGAAGACGCAGTAACAGCCGCGCCCGTAGGACAAGTCCCAGCAGCACAGCAGCTACGTGGACAAATCCCCGGGGTCACGGTGCAGAGGTGAGAGGTTTAAAGGTGAAGAGGTCACAGAAGAAAGAGAGAAGTAATAACAGATGGTTTAGAATCCCAGTCATATGAAACAACAACAACAAAGTCCAGTGTGGCAGTGATAGACTGAGAATGATTCAGAGTATACAAACAAGAAATTCTAAACATTGCAGAGATCTGTCCCCCCTCCTCTCTAGAGTCGATGCTCACGCAGGTTGTCATGTGGTGGACACTGAAGCTTCAGTGTTTATCCAGCTCTGCATCAGTCTGTAAACCTTTCTGTGTTCTAACCTCTCTCCATTTTTCAAAATCATCTCCAATATTGATCCTAGTTTGAGCACGTTTCTGCTCGTGGAGCTTATTAGAACAATGGAAGTACCCTGGTTATTTCAAGAACATAACACACAGGTGTTACATACAGACCACGTCGGGGGAGAGAGAACACAAGGAAACAAAACCTGTAGCTCGTAGAAAGGGGGGTTTTGTGTGTGTGTGTGTGTGTGTGTGTGTGTGTGTGTGTGTGTGTGTGTGTGTGTGTGTGTGTGTGTGTGTGTGTGTGTAGTTCTCACCTGTTGGGACGGTGGGTCAGGGCTGTGGTCCCCAGATAGGGCCAGGTCCTGCAGCTCCGGCTCCGTCCGCTCCTCTGCTGGAGCTCCACCACTGTCTTCACTGTCCTGTACAGAGTACGGACAAACACACACGTACATGAAAATGTTCATTTTCCACAGAACAGAAAAACACACTATAAAAAGCAATATACTGTACATATCTGAGTTTAATATGGAATCAAATATATCGAGCATAATAACAGTACAAGCGTGCAAGGCTCTTTCATACAAGGATATCTAATCATTATGAAAATAACCGTGTCCGTCTTGTAAGAGCTGCTTTAAAGCAAAAGCTAAATGTTCTTTCTACCTCATACTGTAGGCCTCCTCCAAGGGCGTCCAGGTCCAGATGAAGGTTCTTCAATAACCGGTCTGAAACTCGAGGACTTGGCTGAAAAAGGATGAAACGTCTGGTTCATCAGAGGACACAAAGTGCACACATTCACACAACTATATTGATCATTGTGCTATTGTTTTTGTTAAGTTGTGTACCTCTGCGTCTGAGATTTTCTCATCATCTTCATCGTCATCAAATCCAGAGAGAGAGAGAGAAACCCTCTCCTCGTGCCTGCTGCCCAAAACGCTGGACGCTCCGGCGCTCCGGGGAGCCTGGAAGACAAAGAAACGTAACAACAGGACGCAGAAAGGGTTTGGGAGACGGAACATTTCAGAAGGGGATTCATGTTATCCTTCATTAAGCATTACCCCGAGAGATGTCTTCAGGGGAACCAGTCCCCCAGAGGTGCCAAGCGACCGCCGCAGAGCAGGAGCAGGAGCAGAACCCGAGAGTGGGCCTGACCCGGGGACATCCAGACCTCTTAGAGGAGCCAGACTGCCCAGAGGGGACGGGAGGGGGGCTAAGGTTGAACTCAGTGCCTGTAGAAAGAGAGACACATACGATCTTACTGAGAAGGTTTTAGTTCTGGGGAATATCTAATATTCACTTTTTTTGGAATATTATTCTCAATGACTAGCTGATTATCAGAATCAGAAATACTTTTTTAATCCCAGGGGGAAATTCGGCATTAAGGTTAGAGGATTAATGGATATAAAGTCAAGTTTAATTTTTTTATTGTATTAAATTAACGATTCATCACTGACGCCCGGAGTCTTGAGCAGCTCCTTCTTCTTTTTCTCTTTCTTCTCCTTCTTTTCTTTCTTCTTCTTCTTCTCCTTCTTCTCTTTCTTCACCCCCGAGCCTCCTGCGGCCGCGCTGAGCTGGGCTCGTTCACGCTCCTGGACCACCAGGCGACGGTAATGCTCGTCGCAGGGGTGATCCCAGGTTGACTGGCCCGAGGAGAAGTTGAAATAGTAGATGTCCCCTGTCACATCCTGGCTGTGGGAGAGGAGGGAAAAGGAGAGGAGATGGTAAAGTTCAGCGCCTCCAAAAGACACATAGTTAGCCACCAGCGGTTGTGTCACGGATGGTAAATGATGCACTAACTGTATAATTCCATCACTGAACATCATAAAATAACTCATCACAGATTTGTGAGTTTAAACCAAAAATGTTGGATATTTTGGCTGTATGACTGCACACACTCGCACATCGAGAGCAGAGCCCATTGCACTACACCCGGACTTTTATTCCTGATTGTGCCTGCACATACTGACAGACAGCTTCTGAAATCACCATGGCAACAGCTGGCATGCATGCCTTTTAAATCTGTCTTCCAGCTCGGATCATGTAAGAAACGTTGGCAGAAAATATATCTGCAGGCCTCCAGCTGATGTTTGTATAGGGGGTGACCAGTGGGTTCACCTTGCCCTTTATCAGGCAGCTTCATACTTTTCTTACACCAATAACACTTAAATTATAGTCTCAGATTTTGCTTTGTCCGCCATCTTGGATATCTTGTTAACTTTACGACCTCAGTGTCTTTTTAACGTCATGTCCTGCCTCTTTATTTCTCTCCCCCCCTCCCATCCGACAGGGAAAATTCAGGCTGTTAGGGACGTGAGAATGAAAAAAAAATTCAGGAGCTTTATGTGAAAACAATTTTCACCTTCAATCTCGAATGACAGAAATGTGTGTAACACCCTGCTTCAGATTACAAAGGATCTGTGGTCAAGGATGTTTTCTGTCGCTGGCCATGATGCCGCCTTGCCGCCTCCCTCCCTCCCTCTTACTTACCAGGGCTTCCACTCCTGAGGCATAGGGGCAACGATGCCTTCCCTCGCCAGCCAGAGCAGCTCCGGCTCAGTCTCAGGATCAATACCAATCTCTTTAGCATACTCTTGAATTTCTAATCAGAGAAAGACAAAAAGGGAAATCAGGTACTAATTAAATAGACGTCAGGAGAAAGCAGCACTACATCACTAAATGGGCACCAATTAATCTGAAGGTAGCTGATCGTCTGCTGGAGCTTCATCTGACTGCATCAACATGTTGTTACAGCATGGCTATAATAACCTTGGCCTCCATCAAGCAGATCAAATGTGAACATACTGAGTGAGTAAAAAAATGTCTTCTTAAAATACATATTTTTGTATTTATTGCAAAAGCCCATATTGCATTGTACAAGCGTTAGTTCAGACCAAGCTATTGGGTTGGCCAACAGGCGTTCCCTGAGTGAACAACATCACATCCCTCCTCCTCAGCATGCAGGAGCTCTGAATAATTTAAATAAACATTTACAGCTGACAGAGTTTTTCTTTATTCATCATCTCATACTTCATACCTTTTTTACTACACTATTTTCTACTTGTATAAAGGGCCTTTAAGAAAAGATGCGATGGATGCTGCAAGCCGCTCTTAAACCCATTCATTGTCTATGTGTTGTGCGCCGCAAGAGCGTATCTGCGCCGCCCTGGGCTGAGCACATGGTTGCACTTGCTGTCCATGCGTGCTGCACGGAAGTTAAACATTCTTCAACTTGGGCGCACTGCTCCCTTGACGACACCTCAGGGCGTCCAATATGAAGGGACGATCAGATCACAACAAACAGTGTCCCACTTTCTGGAGCTCTTGTTTAAAGACCTACCAGGACACCGTCAAGAAAGCTCTTGTTTGAAAACAAATGTCCAACAGGTGTGTTTAAACACATCAGCAGACATGTGTGTTGTGATTGTGAAGCAGCTGTTATAGAGCCGCAGCTACTGGATGAGCCTACATTCCCCTAAATCCTGTCTTGCCCTGAGGATTTCATGAACCCACACCCTCTTCTTCTTTGCTGCTCTTCTCCTCCTCCTCAGCAGAAGAAAGGCCAGGGCTGCTGTGAGCGCAGACCACATCCTATCTAAGAGCCCCTGAACTGTTGTATAAAATCAACATCACACTCGAGAGATGTTGTTCTTAAATAACGATACCATTGTGATATATTGTACAGCCCTAACTAAAATCACAAATCAAGTTTGATGGGAAAAAAAAATTTGAGGGGCCATTATTTATGGGGCCATATTGCCCAGCCCAGGAGATTTAGCTTTTCATTTCAATGCGTCATGTCCAACTTAAACATATTATGGACATATTATGAAAAATCCACTTGTACAGTGTTTCTGAACATGTATTTGAGTAACCTGAGTGTCTACTGACCCACAAAATGTGAAATAAACCCATCCAGTCTTTTGTTTGTGGTCTGCATGAGTCTTACAACACAGAGAAAGATGCTCCCTTTCAAATTTGATCAACTTGTGATGTCACAGTGGGAATCTGGTTTAAATAAATCCCCTCCCCTCCCCTGGTATCTCCACCCATGAACTCCACCTCCAGCAAGAGCAAAACTTTTGCACAGGTCCACCATTTTTATTCCCACTAGTGAAGGAGTGATGTCTACCAGTAAAACTCAGTGGAGCTCATTGCATTTAAAGAGACACACCCAACAAAACGGAGCGTTCTGAGAGAGCTGGTTTAAACAGGGTCACAAACCTCCTCTGGTGCTTGATTCATGTTATATTTTGACCAAAGCACAGCACAGATGTTTCATTTAGACCACAGGGGTCTGGTGGTAACGTGGTATAATATGTCCTCTTTAAAACCTTAACCCATGTGTACCTTGTTCAGAGGCGATGTAGTTCTCATCATAGTCCTCCTCGAGGATCAGCTGGTCTCCTATCAGAGCAGCTGCAGTCATTGTTTCTGCAGAACCAGGATGTCAGGCCAAAGAAAGTGATTTAACACAGAGGTGCAAAACTTAGCAAAGCTTCCTGCCTCTCTCTCTACAACTCTTCACCATGATGTGACTATAACTCCCTTCCTTCTGGGGATAATTTTCTGCCTTAAAGCATGTTTTAACGAGTTGTATTGTTCAATACTGCTACATTACAGAGCCAGGGTTTATTATGGAGCAAATTAAAAAACATGTGAGTATTCAGGCATCAGTAAAGCCACTAAACGTCTCGATAAACGAATCAAAGAAAGACATTTTAAGGACATAAAAGGACGAGCTAAGCTTATTAAGCTAGCATCTGAGCTAGCTGGGCGCCACCTAGCACAGACGGAGAAGTAGTTTTATTTATTTTTAAAAAGAGCTTATAGGTGATTTACCTTTTTAACTTTTGCCCGTTTTCCGGTCAGAAGTTAGCCCTTGTGCCAACAACTATGATATATGAAATTTTAAACACACATATTTATGTGTAAAAGGACATAAATGCGAAATCTAAAACATAACTGACAACATCTCCAAGGACGCTTCCCTTGTTTCCTGTTGACGATGGAAACGTGGCTCTGATTGGCTGAGCAACAAGAGGCGTTCAAGGGTCCTCGTAACATTCCGCTTCTCCTTATTTGTTTTTTTAAATTTATTTTATTTAAATATAAAAATATATATATATATAATATAATATAAATAATATTTAATAATATTTAATAATGTATATATTATTTAATTTAAACATTTTTTTTTAAGGAAACCACATTACGTCAAATAAACAATGATATTAAAGACTAATTAAGGCGAGTCAAAAATGAAAAAAAAACTTTTGAAAACTAACTGATTAACACAGTTTTGTGAACATTTTTATAAAGCAGGACGGTGTTTCAGGACATGGTCCATGTGCTCAGTTGTATCAGAACATTAAAAAAAAAGTTAATATATGTTTCTCTAATGTTATCTTCAAATATGTTGAATGTTTACCAGTTAAATGTTTTGTGTTAATGTAAGTATAAAAAGTGAAATCCTTTAAGTCATATTTTCTGGTGTTTTATTTAAAAAAGACATCACAGAATAGAATTAACTGTAGACTAAATACGTTATGGTATTTATTTTTTAATTTATTGGTGTTTTTTTAAAAACTTATTTTCATGCACAGATATATCATAGTGTTGCAGCATGACAATAACCTCCATTGTCCACAGATGGAGAAGTGATAGTTGTCTCTCCTTGTTCTACAACAACAGTGAACCCAACATGTGGCGTCCAACATTTGTTTACTCATCAAAGCTTGGAGTGGGTTTGGTGTTATTGGGGAATGTGTTTTGCATGTGTCTTTGGTATGCAGGGGGCGTTGAATGTAAAGATGCCTGATGTGTGGAAAATGGCACTTTCTCTGTTCCTTTCGTTCACAGCGGGGAGCTTCATTGACACTGTGCTGCTAAATGAGGCTTTTGTTCAGCCCCCCGGAGCCAGGAGGTGACCTCACATCGTTGACACTCTTCTCTTGCAATCAATTGTTTTGACTTTTGTCTGTGATTAGAAATACTTTCTTAACCCCAGAGGGGCGATTTTGTTGTTGCAGTTCCTCTTATACACAATTTAGGAAGCGGGAAAGAAGATATAAACTGGGAATTGTATTTAAAACTTTCAAAAGAGCTGATTTCTGATCCAAAATTGAGCCTATATGGGAAACTGGGTCAAAGGCACCCAACTTCAGTCTGGGTTCAATGAAAATGTATAAAATGGAGTTACCTGATTTTTCAAATGAACTCTTTCATATAGAAAATAATGTAAAATAGAATATGGACTGAAATAGAAATAGAAAAAAGCAATAAGTACGAAAGCCCACAAATGAAGATATGAACCATGTGTACAAAAATAAATATACTAAATGCACAGTGTAGACATATAACATGAGGCTAAAAGAAGACAATGTGATCAAACAAGTTAGAACAAATCTTCATGAGGATTTCTCTTTGTTTTTTATATTTGCACAGAGTAAGATAAGTAAAGTCTTGACCCTCGCACTTCAATTAAGGGGTTTCACCACAAGAGGGCAGAGCGAGGGACCGGCTGGTTGACAAGTTGTCTCAACACCCCCCCTCTCAGACTTTGACGTTACAGGAATGGACTGAATTTAGTCAATTATTCTTATTCTCTTGCTTAATGTGTTGCACATACTCCAGTACATTTTCGAACTTCCCCTCTTTCAGATCAAACTGTGTTTCTCACCTCAGACCTGCTTCCATTTTTTGGAATTAAGTATGCAGCAAGATTCTCCAAACTGATAGTAAAAAGAGTTTAATCATAATGAGTGTACCTGATTCTATAAGGAGAATCCTTGACATGACTGCATTCGGGTAAAAAAGAGTTTTCCTTCCTGTGTGTTTGCCTATAGTGTGGGCAGTCCAGTTCTGGTTATTAAGAGTGAATGACCTCCTCATCTTTGGCAATGCTACAATTTGTGTTACAAACTGTGGCCTTGGAACTCAGATAGTCAACTGAACACCTACGCACCAACCCACAAAATACACAGACCTCCTGCGGGATTGCGATGTGTTTTCCAATTTCAGAACATTAAACATTTAAACGTTTTTATTTAAACAGACACAGTCTTTTTTTTTTAAAAAAAGATTAGCCCAGCTAATTTTATGTGTCATAAAAAAAGACATCATGTTTTTTTATGATATCATGACCAATTTGACCTTTTTAAAATTCTCTGTGACATTAAGAAAATCCATGTAAGCACAGCTCTCTTTTACTGACGAGTGAAGGGTTAAAGATCCAGTTTAAACATTGATTAAAAGTGGTGGAAAACAAAACAAAATGTTCCCAATGTATCCTGAATTGAAACCTACTAACCTGAAGAATAGAAAGGGTGTTTGAGCTTTCTGCATGTTTTGCATGTAATATCTGTGACCCCTTTATAGATATATGTATCTGAATTTACATATAGTAGCATATTAATCGCTAAAAAGGCAAAAAAAAGAAGGTCATTTTAAAACAGTTCCAGTACCTTGGGTCTACCTTTAGAGTGACAAAGTGATCAAATTAACTTTATTTGCTGTGTTTCTGACTGTTAGCCTGATGAAGGTCCAGTACCGAACCGATTTTTTTTGCAATTTAAAGACAGTGTGAGGGAGTTTACCTTAACATTTTTGATGGACACATCGCTCTCTGCTTATGAAATGGATGTGCAAAGGTTTTGTCTATCTTGCTGTGTCCTTCCCAGACATGTAGCCTACATTTCATGCTGACAACTTCAGACTTTACTTATTCCGTATTCTTTTCTGGATCATTTAAAAACACTCACAAAGTCATTATATTTTGCAGCGTTTGTTGTTGCCTTTCAGAATATGTTCTTCTAACGATAGCATGTCCTAACTCTTAACAGAGCTCCTTCATAAACTGCATTATCAGTCTCAGGAACAGTGAAGGGCTGCAGAGGCTCGTAAAAGGAGAAGATAACTTATTGATAGTCAACTCACAAGTTGTCCTCGTTATTATCTGATTACGTGAGCAGAAGTGTGATCATTGAACTATTTTCCTGCCTTCACTTTGCTTCTCTTATAATTCAGGTTATCTGAGTTCAGGGTGGCTTTTCTGGCAGGGTGATGCATCCTACAGCGACTCTCCAACACTCAGGGCTATGCTCCACATATCCGTATGAAAGCAGGAGCGACCTCAACAGATGTGACACTGCAAAACAACATCACTAGTTTATTAGAATTGTATTGCACTGTGTTGTGCTGTGTTGTGTGAGTGTGTGTGTTGAATAAAATGAGAGAGGGCTGCACACTGGTGCTCACAGCTGAGATAACCTCCCCTGCTGGTTTGAGAACAGTGCTCCATCACGGACGCAGCTGGAACAATGACAGGACCTTTGAACCTCAGCAGGGCCTGATCAAATGCTGCATTTTCTGATTAAATATTTATCAGCTCCAAGCAATAAACCCCACATCTGTCTGGCTGTGTGACTGACTATAAACCTGGTTGTTGGTCATCAACTAAGAAAGTCCCTCTTTTAGTGGAGCACCACTGAAACCCATCACCTGTGTTAAGCCTAGAAATCTTTATGTTGAATCCTAAAAAGTTGACCAAACTCTTCCTGGAAGGATCTTTTTTTAGCTTGAAACAGGCTGAATTTAATAGGGATACATCTATAACTGTTTTCATATCTGCACTCCTGAAAATATAATAATAATAATAATAATTTCTGGAGGACTGCTCCTGATATTCTCCTGACCTGGCTGTGAAGTCTGAGCGAAAAAATTGGCTGTTTGTGTTCACACATACAGCTCCTCCTTTGACTATCAGGTGTTTTTCTGGAGAAGTGTGAAAGCCCTATATGAGAACAAGAAAGGCAAAATAGGTCATCAGAGAGTTGTCTCTAAAGCCTAGTTCACGCTTGCAAAAAACACCTGAAAAGATTTCGCAACAGCCACATTTTTCTATTCTGAATTTATCCAGAGTTTCTCCTGCCAGCCTCCTAGTAATTCTTCCACAGAAAGCCTGAGAGAGCTGATTGTGAGAACGCAGCAGGATATAAACAGGAGAATTCACCTGGAGCGAGTAGGACGGGGCGGTGACATTTATTCCCTGTGATCGGTGCACGACCACAGACTGCCTGCACGATCTCCATGCACTTAATTAAAATGCTGCATTGTGCGTGAACAACCAGATCAGGAGGATATCAGGAGCAGTCCTCAGGGTTCAAATCTGACCTGTGGCTCCTTTCCTGCACATCATTCCTCACAATCTCTCTGATTTCGGCCTGTCCTGTCTCTCCAATGGGGGAACAAAAAGCCCCCCAAATTGGCTGTAGCTCTGTTGGTAGAGTCGGGGGTTTGACCACCAGCTCCTGCAGCCACATGTCAGATGTGTCCTTGGGCAAGACACTTAACTCCAAATTGCATTGGCTGAGGCGTATTCATGTGTATGAACGGGATTAGTTACTGTATTTCTGATGGTTACTTTACATAACAGCCTCTACCATCAGTGTGTGAATGTGTAGGTGTGACCTCAATGTAAAAAGCTCTTGGAGTAGTCAGAAGACTAGTAAAGCGCTATACAAGCTCAAGTCCCTTTACCATTTACCAAAAATAAACCCTTAAAAAAATGCATCCTTTTAGCATCCTGAAGGATAACTTTTTTCTTTCTTTAAAAAAGGGGAAAGTTCTAAGCACACCACGTCGTTGCAGGGCGATACAAAAACAGCAGAGACAAAAAAGAAATGGCAGCACACTCGTTCTAATGCCACATAAAGTTCGAATTAATCACAACCGTTTGACTGGAAACGTATCACCTGAAGGAATCGAAACGTTTTGATGAATTAAAACCTTTCGTGCAGTCATCCCTTCGTCTCTCAACTTTGAACATTTTATTCATGTTGTTATAAAGACGCTTAAAGTCATTAGTCAGCGCTCATTTGCCCTCGCAGTATTACAAAACATGCAACCTTAGCAACCTCCCTTGCCAGCTTGGAGTCCTGAGTTCGTGTTGATAACAGTTAACGATGGCAGTAATCTAGAAACGTCTCCTTGTGGATGCTGAATCAATGTGGTGCGATGCAAGCAGTCTCAAAGGTTGCTGTGCCAGATAAGAGGTAATTCTTCTGACACGGCCTCTTTCACTCCTGGTCAGATGAGCTCAGAGCAGCTGATACGTGAAATCTTATCTCGGGGACCAGGGCAAAAGCCCTAAAGACAACTGTACACTGATTGCATGTTGAGAAGGGGCCTCATGATGGGATCTGTCCTGCTACTTACTGGTCCTGGTGTGCATGCAGAGAGACATTTGACTCTGTGTTAATATCAAAAATAAAGAGTTCTCACTTCACTTATTAATCATGTAAATATTGTTGTCCTCCTCATCGGACATCAATCAATGCATGCTGCTGTAAATGATCTGTTACATAATGACATCATTCAGCATCTTTTGCACTCATCACCACTGCGCTGTAGTCTAGTGCAGTGGTTCAAAACTGGTCAAGCCTCAGGACCCTCCAACACTCCTTCATGAAAAATCAAGACCCACATTTCAGATTTATTTAAAGAAACATTGTGCAGTTTGGACCTCAGACGTCACAAAGCATGGTGCAACAAAGAAACTGAATGAAACAAAGTTTTAATGTTACAATGTTACAATGTTACAATTCACTTAGCAGACGCTTTTATCGAGAGCATAGACGTACATCAGAGAGTAAGCACAACTCTTTTAATCCTTCCAGGAGGAGCTGTATTTGTGAACGCAAACAGCTGAATTTTTAACTCGGCTACACCTGGAGTTTCTTCTGGTCAGCTCTGACAGTTTTTTTTTATTTCAGAGGGTTCATATGTTTTTAAAGGAAGTTTTCTTCTTGCCTCTGCTCGCTCATACTAGGTGACTATGTTGGGTCTCTCTCAAACATATTAAAAAAGGAGAATTATCCGACTTTTTGTTTACTAATTTTACCTCTAAAATTTCCAACAGTCCAGACAAGAATCTATTTTGTTTCTTTTTGAACTCCTGCTCAAAACTTCAGGCAGCATGTCTGACTGAATGAACCCCTTCTTTCAGACACACACATTTGTAAATGTTCCCCTTTAATCTGTCTTCTTTACTTTACTCATTGGTGTCAGACAAATGGCCAGAGCTGATAACATCGGTCTGGCCCTCGGAGGCGTTGATGAGGCTTGTTAAGGTGACAACTTTGACACCTCTTTGTCCTCACAGCATCATCAAGCTGAGCTCGGCCCCGAGACCAAAGACATGCAGAGAGGGTGATTAAAGACAGAGCCCAGAGTGTCGAATGATGAATAACAAGGAAAAATGGAAAAAGAGGAAGCTTTTTTTCAGGAAGATATAGCTTTTAAACACTCACAGGAATATCTGCAGAGATTTACTGAGACCATCAGAGAGGGAGGATTGGATTGTCTTGGTGTTTAATTCTCCTGACGGACAGAACACTTCTTCAGAATCAGAATCAGAATCAGAATCGGGTTTTATTGCATAGTACATTTACACATACAAGGAATTTGACTTGGTGTATTGGTGCTAAACAATTAACAAGGAAATAAAGCAGAACTAGCAACAACTTAAATGATACGGTAGAAGAAGCTATTACAATATATAAAATATAATTTAAAAGTGTAAAATATAAAAAATAAAAAACACAAAATGTACAAAATGTTTTGTTTAATAAATGCAGCTGTTCAGACTGGGCAGACTCTGGATTTTAAATCAGGACCACCACGTCATTACTGTGATTTCTAGAACAACAAATAGCTTCAATTCATTCTTTATTTGATTTTTATCCCCCGGTTACGGCTGCAACCTTCCGGCTGTTACCGTTTAAGTGAGTAACACGTCCCCTGCACACATTTTTTACTGAAATTTATGATCTTGTCTCGGTCTCACCCTGCCTTGGTCTCGACCCCTAAATGTCTTGGTTTTGTCTCGGTCTCGATTAGTGTGGTCTTGACTACAACACTACAGTCTAATGTGGGTCAAAACCAAAACAAGAAACCTGCAGAGTCTCTGTCTGTTCGTTTATGCAGAAATGTCCTCCAAGCCTTTCTTCCTCTGTCCACAATAATAAACACAAAATGCCTAAATGTGGTCTACCATGAATGTTTACTTGCCACACCATAAATACCAGATAAATACCAGAGCAGCACAAACTAGAGGAGACTGTAATGTACCGTGGAGTAGAACTGAATTTAGTTTAAAAGGGATCAGGGATTGTGAGAACTACTTAACCTTTCAAATAAAACTCAAACATTGTGTTGATGAATGTGCACTCAATAAATACATCAAATAAAACACAGTAGCACAACTATTACATGAATGAAATCAATTAACTTGAAGCAAAAAGCTGTGTGTGTGTTTGGGGTGTGTGAGCTCATGAGACACCATAGTTTGGGGACCACACGGCTCTAGATGATAAGAAAATGATTAATAATGTAACCGCTCAGAGCAGCGCGGGCTGACTGAACAAGAATTTGAGAGTTTTGGTATTTGAAGAAATTTGCACTATATTTGGGCTACTGGAGCAAATGTCATGCGAGCAACAGAGACCAGTCGGTTTGAATTGATCGCCACTGATCAACCCTGACAATGATTAACCTTGCACCTAATACATGTCTGTACTTGAAGACCAACTTTCCCAGCTGATTATCTAATATGGCTGATACAGGGAAGGCGACATCTTTCTTTCATGCTCCAGTCATGACCGTGTAAAATTATTTCTATCGCCAATAATTAATTAAATGTTAAACGTGTGACTGAAGGGGTACAGGATAGCCTAGTGGTTTTTGGGGATTTTAAGCCCCATGAACAGAGGAAATAGTCCTTGTTGCAGCAACCGTGGGTTTGAATCCGACCTCGGCCCTTCGCTGCATGTCATCCCCCCCTCTCTCCTCCTAACATTTCCTGTCTCTCTTCAACTGTCCGATCTAATGAAGACAGCTTTAAAAGGTGTGACTGAGAGTGTTAACTGTACTGACATGTAAGAGTTTATACTTTTTGAAAGTGAATATTTCACCTTTGACTTCTTTCACTCTGTTAATTTCTTTTTCATTAATGTGGATTTTTTTTTAAAAGTGATATCCGTGCATAAATAAAGAGTCACTTTTCATGCATTGATTGTTCCTAGTCCTCACGTTGCACAACGCCGAGCAACAAAGTCCACTGGTTGATAGGAAAACAAACAACAGCATGGCACAAACACACAGACACACACACGGCCCACTCTTTAAACTATTAATCATCGCTCACTCACCAACCACAAACTTTCTTATTCGTGAACTGAGATAACATGGGATTAATGTTGGTCGGTCTGATTATGAGTGGATGCTTCATCGTATGCAAACACACACGCACGCACACACACACACACACTCATTGTCTGATTCAATGGTTCATTGCAAAAAAGGCAAAAAAGAAAAGAATGAAAGACGGCCTTCCTTTTTGTCTTTGAAGAGCCTTTTGGCAACTCTGAGATTCTTCATAATGATGCTTTGCTGTCCCCCACATGCTCCTCAGTAACAAATGGTAGCTTCAGAAAACCACCGAGAGGATGGGGGGGGGACTTTTGTCTTAAGTGTTTCCACTCTGATTTCATTAAAAAAGAGATCAAAGCAGAGTCCTGCAAGATAACCAAAAACTTTAAGTCAGGCAGCTTCTTCAGAACTGATTTATTTCCTTCTTTAATCCCTTTTTATCTATCTTTAGCTCACTGTGTCTGACCCCTTTATGTGTGATACAAAAACTTTAGATATTTATCTTGTCCCTTACATTCATGCCTACTTTAAGGGTCTACATCTCCCTCTCTCCACGTAAATTTTTTTTTGGTTTTTAATCTAAATTTCATTAATTCACATGGCCGGAGAGGTCACACCCCGAGAACTACGAATGCCAAATTCTACTCACAAATATTTCCTAAATTAAGGTACATTAAATCAGATACTTCTATTAGTTCATGTTTGATCCTCTGTAAAAAAAGCCATAATGCATTATATGGCTCTGAAAATGTGTGTGTGTATGTGTGTGTGTGTGCGTGTGCGTGTGCGTGTGTGCGTGTGTGCGTGTGTGCGTGTGTGTGTGTGTGCTGGCTCCCAGCAGGTGACCATTGAACTCACAGCCCAGTCCCCATGATGAGGGAGACGGTTGGGGGGTGAGGTCCACCTCCACGGAGACACTTCTCCTCCCCCCATTGACTCATCCCTCGCTCTGGCACTATAAAAACTCTGCTCTAGCTGAAGTTCATCAGTCTCATCAAGAGCTCCAACAGGTAAGACAAGCAGCTTCTCTGAAACTGGCAACTTGCGCTGAAAAGTAGTTTGAAAAACAGAAAAAACTGGGGAAGATTTTTTGTTAAATATGTTTGACTTCTAGAGTCAGCTCTGTAGTCTTGAGCAGGTTGTGAATTCTGGTAACTTCTTTGTACCTGATGTGTTTAACTGTAATCAATTGCAAGTTTGAGTTAAAGATGTTTAGCTTGCAGGGATATTTTAGCACTTATCAACATTTTAAGAGCTCCAAAACTGAACTTCCTTCAGATTGAGATTGCCTTTGAGATCAGAGAGGTGGACGTCTGATTCTTTGACTGAGGTTTACTTTTAAACCTTGATCAGGATTTTGTAGAAATCCAGAGCTAATCTGCTCGAGCTGTCTCTTCAATCTGTAAGTGGCCCTGATCCACGCAGCTTCTTTGAGTAGGCGGCCATATGTTTAGTGAGAACTAATTTGGACTAATTCAGGGATGAGTGTGCAGCATTAGCCGAGGGCTTACTTTGACTTATCTGGCTATCAAACTGCTTAAGGTGGAGGGTTCGAGATGTACTGGTCGTGTATTTAAAAATGTACTCCTTTTGAATGTGGAGTGATTGTATTTTATTGAAAAGTTAAATAACTTTTAACCCTTTCTCCTCTCCAGACCGTCATCATGAAATTTGTGGCTCTCGCTCTCACCCTTGTGTTCGCCGTTGGTGAGTACTGAATGCACTGGTTAATTCTTTACCTGCATGCACCTACATTGCTCATAGTTCAAATATACGCTTAATTTATCTTGTAGCACATTACGCTTTCCATGCTCCTCCTTTTGCTTAGTTGTCCTTCTTACCTTTCATCTCCTTTCCTCCTCAGGCTCGCAGGCTGCCTCCCTGCCTGACGATGCATCTCAATATCTGGCAAACATGAGGGCCTACATGGATATGTACTTGACCCAGTTGAAGGACAGTACCACAAATGCCCTGCAACAGATCGACGATCCTGCTCTAAAGTAAGTCCATGCCATTCTCCCCAGCCAGTCCCTCTTCCTGTCATTAATATTTCCAGGGTTACTGGTTGATTTATTTTTCCCCATGAAGGTGTCATCAATAACATATTAATGTGTTTATTTTTTTATAACATCGCTAGGGCTAAGCTGGTTGAGCGTGTGGATAACGTTCACACACAGATCAAGACAGCTCAGGGTGCTGTTGCCCCCATGACCGACACTGTTGTTGGAACAGTCTTGGAGAGCACCGCCGACTTCCATGGAAAGATCATTGCTGATGTTGAAGCCCTGAAGCAACAGCTTGTGCCTCTCCGCTCCAATCTGGATACGATTGTCAACAAACACCTGGAAGAGTACAAATCCCTGCTCGGCCCCATCCTCCAAGAATACTCCAGCATGCAGAACACTGGAATGGAAATGCTTAAGACCAAGCTGGATCCACTGCTTCCCGAACTCAAAGAGAAATTTGACACCAATGTGGAGGAGACCAAGGTCGCCCTGATGCCCATTGTGGAAGCTGTGCGTTCCAAGGTTACTGGATGGGTGGAGGATGCTAAGGGCATTGCTGAGCCCTACGTCGAAGAATACAAGGATAAGATTAACCAAGTTATCACACAGTTGCGTAGCATCAGCCAGGAGGATATGGCTGCCCTGAACGCAAAGGTTGCACCTATGGCCCAAGAGATCACTGTCAAGCTGAACGAAATCATGCAGGCCGTCGCTGGTACCATGGTAAAGGCATAAAGCCTCTGTCCCATGTTCCCGCAACCAACCTCCCCTCCCACTCCTCGTCTTTCTGAAGATCCATTCCACCTTTCTCTCCATTCCAACTTTCCTCACGGAAACCTCCCCAGTGACGCCGAAGCCTAACTGATGCAACGCTTTGCAACAAAATGGCGAGACTCTTGCTCTCTCTACCAGGCAACACTTTTGGGTGCACATGCAGGCTCAACTAGACACGTACATGTACTCACACATGCTTCACTCTGTGCATGCTGTGGCATATTGCTCACATTTTGTGTAGGAAATGTATGTGAATTACAACCAAGTACCTGAACCTCTGTGTAATGATGCTTGTCTGATGAAAAACAGATCAATAAACATCTGACTGTTAAATACAACTATAATCTCTGACTCTAATTTGAAAGGTTTTTGTGTATCATGTGATTTGTCTTTTTCTCTACGCAGTCAGCACTGAAATACAATATCATCCATCACAATTTAAAACAGCCTGCAATCCACTGCTTTACATCCATTTAGCTCTAATCTCAAGTTCATATGAAACAATATTAAAGGAGACATATTATGAAAAATCCACTTCTACAGTGTTCTTGAACATATATTTGAGTAACCTGAGTGTCTACTGACCCACAAAATGTGAAATAAACCCATCCAGTCCTTTGTTTGTGGTCTGCATAAGTCTTACAACACAGAGAAAAATGCTCCATTTGAAATTTGCTCTCCTTGTGATGTCACAGTGGGGTAAAGAAAAAAAATCCCCTCCCCTCCTCTGGGATCTCCACCCATGGACTCCACCCCCAGACTAGAACAAAACTTTTTGCACAGGTCCACCATTTTTATTCTCGCTATAGAGGAGTGATGTCTACCGGGAAAACTCAGGGGGGGGCTCCTTAAATTTAAAGAGACACACAACATAACGGAGCGTTCTGAGAGAGCTGGTTTGTACAGGGTCACAAACCTCCTCTGGTGCTTGATTCATGTTATATTTTGACCAAAGCACAGCACAGGTGTTTCATTTAGACCACAGGGGACTGTTTGAAAAGGTGGAAAAGGGGTATAATGTGTCTACTTGAAATTTTAAATGGGTGTGACAAAGCTTACCACTAAACATCTCAGGACTATCACAGTACACCTTTAGCTTTATTAGACTGTTATATCTCAGCGACGGCACTTTAAGGGGGTCATCATTGATCACAAGGTCAATTAGAAAAGAGAAATATTAATACAATCAGTTCTATTTAAGAGAGACACCCAATGACATGTGAGTGTTTTTCTTCTTGTGGTCCTGAAGGCTGTGATTAATGACCTGAACCAGGATGTGAACTGGTCTATTGACGAACTCAAGATTTGGTGTTTTTTCATACGGGGAAAAAGTCCTCTTTTCTGCTTTTGATCCCTCAGGCTATAGTACCCTTCAACACGGCCTCATCAGAGCGCCACATGAGGCCACACAAGCGAACCACTGAACGCTTAAACTTTAATCACACATCTTTGATTTGTCACAAACATAAAGGCCAATCGTTTCATTCACGTCTTGTGAAAGCTTGCAAAGCGAGAAGAGGACACCTTAAGACCTCACAGCGTTGAAAGAAACGACAACACTGGAAATAAAAGCAGGAGTCCTGACGCAGTATGATGTCTTTAATATTCATAAATATGTTTGCATGCTGCCATTTCTATGAACCATAATAGATACACAAGCTTCAGTCAGCTGTGGGGAGTAACTGACTCTTAATTAGTACGGTGTTGAAACTTTGCCTGAAAGGAAAATTGCCCATGAATAATAAAAGCAGTTTGCTGTTGTCTTAATCTGTCCACACCCAGTAACACCGGGCTGATTAAGATGTTATTAATGTCGTACTGATTGGTCAAGACGACCTCCACGTAAGGCTTCAGGCTATATTAGACAAAAGGGAATGCAAGCATGGATTTCCAGATGCCTTAGACGGGCTTTGTGTGTGTGTGTGTGTGTGTGTGTGTGTGTGTGTGTGTGTGTGTGTGTGTGTGTGTGTGTGTGTGTGTGTGTGTGTGTGTGTGTGTGTGTGAACGTTCTTGTATTCACAGTTCTTGGGGCAGCTCTTGTGATTAGTGCATGTCAGTGGCACCATGGGTATTGTAATGGATGAGGCAGGTATGGAGGTCCCCTGTGAGAGACTCATGGTGTATAAAAGAAGCCCGCTCCTGCACACAGGCGCTCAGACAATTTGGATGTACATCTATCCAAGCATTGGAGAGAGAATTTTGTCCTCAACAGGGTTTCGAAAGGAGTGAGCGGGGTTGCTGCTTGTCATCAGAAGAGACCGAAGTGAAGAGAAGGATCAGAGGAATTGACAAAGCATACAATTCCTCTTGCATATATTTAAATAATGAACGGTAAGAGGCTGTTGTTTTCATCCGTCTTGTGTGAAATCAACAGAGAAAAGACAGCTCCAAAATGGGACTTAATCAAAAAATCAACACTTATCTCTGCTCCCATGCACTTTTTAACACACTCTCTAGGTCCGCAGCTGTCCCAGAGCTGTGAGCTATCCATGTCCTGTTGTGCAAACGGAGAGTCAGTGTGCGACGCCAAGGCCCTCCAAGTCAGTGGTGTCCGAGTTCAGCTCGAGATGCATACACTTTGGCAGCAGTTCGACCAGCTTAGCACAGAGATGATTGTTACAAAAGCTGGAAGGCAAGGCTTAACACGTATCACCTTCTTCTGCACTTTTCAGTTTGTCCTCTTTTACTGACGCCCTCTGATCAAAAATGATTTGTGTATTTGACTGTGAACATATCGCAGGAGGATGTTTCCTACGTTCCAGGTGCAAATCTCTGGGATGGATCCTGCTGCTGAATACGTCCTCCTCATGGACTTTATCCCTGTTGATAATAAAAGATACAGGTGAGACAAACAGAGTGAGGAGAGAGGTGTTCAGTATGTAATGAAAGTTTATAATATTCAATTACTTTTAAGCCTGTTTGTGATATTTTATAGAATTTCCATCTTCGCTTTATCCGTTGCTTTGCTACTCCTCTCAAAGATTTATCCTACCTTACCTTACCTGTCCAGTTTGACACATTTGAAACATGTTTGTTTGTGTGTGTGTGTGTGTGTGTGTGTGTTTGTGTATCAGATATGCTTTCCACAGCTCCTCCTGGTTGGTGGCAGGGCGAGCGGATGTGGTAGCCCCAAGCAGGATGCATTTCCACCCAGACTCGCCTGCCTGCGGAGCCCAGTGGATGAAGCAGACTGTATCCTTCGACACACTCAAGCTCACCAACAACTTGCTGGACGATAACGGGCATGTCAGTCGATGTCTTCTACACATATCCTACTTACTTTTTACTTTTAAACAAAAAAGGAAAAAGGGCACATCATCTATGAAAAAAATATTTAATTTAGTTCTTTTAATTACCGGTTCTAGATTTTTTTTCTGATTTCTTTCTTGACAGATGATATTGAACTCCATGCATCGCTACCAGCCGCGCTTCCATGTGGTGTATGTGGATCCTGCTCCCAACAGTCACTTGAATGCATACAGGAACTTCTGCTCCTTCTCCTTTCCAGAGACACGCTTTATGGCCGTCACTGCCTATCAAAACCACCGGGTATGTAACCCAGAATAACGATGCTTAAAGTAAACATCACCCCGTTTTTTTTCTCAACGTATGTCGTTCTTGTTCTACAACTCTTTCTCCCTTTTTCCTGCTAGATCACCCAGCTCAAAATTGCTAGCAACCCATTTGCTAAAGGCTTCAGGACTACAGACACCCAGGACCGGTAAGTGTCTATCAGTCATTAGAAGAGGCACGAGTACTTTGTATCTGCACTTAAGTAGAGTGGTGGTTTATTTTTACTTTACTTGGATTTCCTTTTCTCAAAATATTTTTATTTTGACCTCTTGATTTCTGTGACTACGTCCAACTACTTCACGCATCAATAAGAGGCTAAATCTGTCCTCACAGCGTCCGATCATTTTACTCCATCCCTAACATCCACGTGTTCTTTATTTCCGTTTTAAACAAACTCTGGTGCGCTTTAATGGAAACTGTAGTTCGTTTAGTTTGTTGCTAATACAGAACAAAAAACAAACTAGCACCAGAGTTTGGTTTGCGGTAGGTGAAAACACGATCCGAAAAATGTCCAACTTCTTACTTAAGTAAGTTTTACCAGTTTAAAAAAATACTCTTTTACAGAAGTATCTGTACTTCCACTTGATCAAATAGTGTTTGTTAACATCTCTTTTTGTTCTTCAGTCCATTTTCAGTATATATCATGAGTGTATCTTTTATCAGTGCATGTTATCAGCTGGTACACTGTGATAAGGAAGCAGCCTTGCTGTTAGCTAATCAACCTTTGTATTCAAAGATTGTTCGCAAGAGGCAGGCTGTGTGTCATGTATGATGACACTGAGGTGAAATCTGGGAGTGTGCATGTATGTGTTTGTGTGTAAAGACACTTTTATACGTGTGTGTGTGTGTGTGTGTGTGTGTGTGTGTGTGTGTGTGTGTGTGTGTGTTTGTGTGTGTGTAGGGTTGGTCATTCTGGACTCCTGGTAGCGTGGTGCCCACCAGAGGGCAGAGCTGAACACCTCAGTGCCAAACATGGAGAGCAGAGAAGAAAGGGCTCAGACACTTCATCATCCAGTGAGTTTTTTTTCCTTCTTAACAGTTTAGGTCGAGTGAAACAAAAACAGTATCATGATTAGGTTTCCCCTTTTTGTAACAAAGTAATACTACATCTACATTCACAATTTCTACATAATTTTCTTTTCTTTTTGACGTAAATCTTTTGGATCTATTTGCTGATACATGTCTCATACAAGCAGCCAGGTAGAATAAAATAATCTAAAATACACAGGTAGATGCACGCTTAGTGGTTCATTTGATTAGTTTTGATAGCTAGAGCAGGGGTTCCCAAACGTTTTCTGCCTGATGGAAATATTTTAAAGGCACCCCCCACTCCTCACCATACACATCCACAACATATCAATCGACTAGCAAGCAGATTTTAAAGAGGAAGTGCTATTTGTCTGGGGAAAAAAACAAAACAAATAAAACTTATATCAAACATAATCAAAAGGCCACTGATGCAGCATGGGGGCAAGGCCGGATTAACCATTAGGGCAACCAGGAAGTTGCTTATAGGGGCCCTAGATCTGTAGAGGGTCCAGGGCAGGAAGTGAATACGCTAAAAATCAGGTTAGAGATTGCTGTACTTTAGCCTCTCCGCTGGTGCTACAGCAGCTTTTCTCACAGTACCACTGCAAGCAGTCATACCCCTTCACAGATGCAAAGGAATGAATCACTTGTTTGGGGTCTTTAACATGCACAAAAACTCACAAAATTTTGCACCAAGATCAGGAGTGCGTGAAATTTACGTGTGTGTTTCAGTACAAGTGCAAGGCAAAATGACAAAGAGGCGCCCCCCTTGAAATTTTCTAAAATTCAGCCCATCGCTACGGTTTCACCTACATGCACTTGAATCTTTTAGCACGTTAACAATGCCAATACCTACAAAAAAGACTCTTAACACAACGTCTACAGGAAGTCCACCACGATTTTTTGAATGTCAAAATAAAGCCTCATTTTAATTTATCTTTGTTTTAGTAGTTGTGACTTTGCTGTAGATTCACTGTCAGCCTTACACTAACCTGGAAGTCCTCTCACAAGTTCTGACACGCTTTCCTAGCAGTGCAAAACAATGTGCATTTTTCTATTTAGCCTTGTTGGCCCTCCCTGTCATAACCTCGGGTCACCTCTAGGTGGTGCGGGCCACACTTATGGAATCACTAAGCTAGAGGATATAATAACATCGTATCTAAGCAACTGGTACCTTTCAATCTGTGTTCACTTGCTTCCTCAGGAGCGGAGGACCCAGCCCTGTTGCTAGAGGAGCAGTGTGGACTGTTACATCACTTCAAAGACTCGGTGGGACTCAGCATGGAGAGAAAAGATGGGGAGAGTATATTAACACCGGCTTCCTTTCTCCCTATTTCTAACTACTGGGATTGTGCAGGATCATCACAAGAGAGAGGCGGACAGCTGTAAAGAAAGAAGAGCAAAGTGACATTATTTATCTTTCACACCATTAATCTGGGTGTTACAAGAAATGTACAAAGAATATGATTGTTACAAAATGATTAAATTGGGATTGTTCAGGTGCTCCATCAAACTATGTCCTTAGCAATATGACAAAGAAGCTGCATCGACTCCATGTACTATAAGATAAACCAAAGCATACAAAAAGAGGTCGCACCAGAGTACAACATTGCATGCCAATACACTTTATTACGCCTCGTCTGGTTTTATATCCCAAATAAGCACCATGCACACTGGATTAAAGGACCTAGCAATGACTCTGATTAAACAGTATGTGATACCTTGATTCCAAAAGTTACACAAGGATGGAAAATACATTACCCAGAATGCTGCTGTGTGATCGTGTTTCAAGAGTCATGAGACAACAGCGATTTTGCCTTCAAAGTAAAACACATTATTTATAATTCCTTTACACACACCACACATAGGCAGAGGCACTGCTACTCAACAGGCAAGGCAAGGCAACTGCTGGGGCCCCAGACCAATAGGGGGCCCCTAAGGGCTGACAAACTTTAAACTGCAGTACAGCAGTGGCTCAAAATGTGCAAATTTACAATGCGATAGAAAAGTGCTGGCAGTGTCGACACTGTCGATTGCATTTTTGCTGTTAAAACACTAGAGATTTATTCTACTCTATTAAAGGCGGGCCTTTATATCAAATTAACTCTGTCTGAGAATGTGAAGTGCTTATGTTTTAACCAATACACTGCCCTATTTAAGTTACTGAAAATGTACCATAACTGCTGCCATCTGCTGTTACTTGCTACTGTACTAATTCTGATAGTTTTTTTTAACCATAATTAAAATTGTTATGAATGTTGTTGGTATTATGTGTAAGGCTGCACAAAGCTTTAGTAAACGCACCATTGCATTTCTTATTGAAATAGCAAAAAAATATAAATACAAATGCATTAAAAATTTAAGGAAGCAGCGACAACTGTAAGGTTTTCAAATTAAATATTTTGAACTGAAGTGTAAGAATTGTTTTTTTGAGAAGGAGCTGTTCCATCTCATCTGGATGTCGTCATGGAGACGATTTGTGGGCATGTACTGTTCAGTCTGAATGTCTTCAAAGCAAGATTGTACAAATTTGTAAAGTATCCAACAGTCTGTCTAGATCGGTGACATTAATCGACACCGTCAAATAGATATCCAACCTACAAAATATGTCAATATCAGACCCGAAACAGATATCAGATTGGATCTCTCCTATCTCTAATAAAGGCTAGAGCTATTTTATGTCATATATGTCTAAACATGACAATTCTTGTGATCACTGATGTTTTTTATACCTTTAATCTATTGAATCAATGCTGTAATACAACTCCTTCCATCTCACTATGGTTTAACAATGGTTAAGTGAAATTTAAATTTAAGTAAAGTGGAATATTTGGAATAGTTTCCTTTAATGTGAAAATCTTCTTTTTGTCCTCATACATATTAAGATTATTATTATTCTCATTTCACACACTGTCGTAGGCCGAGACTGAGGTTTAAATTGATTCATGTCTCAGGTGTTGGCCTCTGTAAGAGCGTCTTATTTTGTAAATACTGACCGGATGTTGTCCTGTTTTTGTGGCTGTGCTTGACGGTGGCGCTGCTGCTTGCGCTCTCTCGCAGCTCTGGAGGATGCAGCGGGGTGGATGGAGGAGGAGGAGGAGGAGGAGGTGAAAGACTGGAAGGCGGAGAACAGAATGAACGGGTTAGAGAGGGGAAGGATGCGGATTACTACAGCAGCCCGTCGGTCAGCCTGCATGCCAACGATGGATTCGGTCGTTGGACAAACGGATTTGCGGAGAAAACAACAAAGGCCTGCGGTTTGTTGATTCACTGAGCTCTGAGGGGGGAGCCTGCAGTCACCCGTCGCTTCAAATAATCTGACACCGAGGTTAATGGGTTAATTGTAGGGTGATTTAATTCTCAGTGTCAGTGTTTTGTACGTACGTGTTGCGTTTTAGTTGTATACTTTTGTTTATTTGGTCTCCATTGGACTTGAAGAAAACTGGAGATAAAACAGAGTGACCCTGTCCCCCTTCATATTTGCGGTTCATCTGCCATCATGGTTTACGCCGTCATTTTTGCATCACCTGATCTCTTCTCCGTAGCCGCTGCAGACAGGATGTCAAACTGAACAAAGCGCTTAAACTAAACGCATCAAAGGACAACGTAACCGAGAACCGCCATGGGGGCGTCAATGTTGCAGCCCAGCTGGTGGACAGGTGCGTTCATATGGACGATGTTGTGCCTGCTCGGTAACGGTCACTCCGCCTCGGACACCTCGGGCCTGCCTCTAGCTATCCGCGTGCCACTGCGGCAAGGCGCTCGCGCTGAGCCGCTCGTGTCACCTGCCGCAGCTGCCGCCTCTGTGAACCAGGAGCGTCAAAGCGGCAACCTGCGGAAATACGCTGTGCGCAAGCGGAGAGGAGCGGCAACGGGCGGTATCAGCTTCGTGGACATGATTGATAACCTGCGTGGAAAGTCAGGTCAGGGGTACTACGTGGAGATGGCCGTGGGCTCTCCTCCGCAGAAGGTAAAGGTGTTTTTATTTACTTCATGAATGCATTAATATTTTTTTAGGTGACTCTGTCAAAGAGGTGCCCTTTTAGTCCCCCAGACCAAGTTTAAATGTTTATTATACACAGAAAAGAAAAACACAAAATAAATTCTAAAGCTATCAAATAATAGCGCAACATAAATAATGTTCCTTGTTATTATTTAAAATCGGTTGATTAAGTAACAGAGGGTTAACTTGTTGCATGTCCCCACAGGTCTTTCAATTTTCTGTGAACATTGAGCAATAGAAAAATGCAATTTATGCCCAAGTTTTGCTGTAGGCCTACTATGTTTGTCTTCTTTGACTTAACATAGCCTTTATTTTTTTCCATACAACCATCCATCCATCCATCCACCAATTCATCAATCCATCCATCCATCTATCCATACAACCATCCATCCATCCATCCACCAATTCATCCATCCATCCATCCATCTATCCATACAACCATCCATCCATCTATCCACCAATTCATCCATCCATCCATCCATCTATCCATACAACCATCCATCCATCTATCCATACAACCATCCATCCATCCATCCACCAATTCATCCATCCATCCATCCATTCATCCATCCATCCATCTATCCACCAATTCATCCATCCATCTATCCATACAACCATCCATCCATCCATCCACCAATTCATCCATCCATCCATCCATTCATCCATCCATCCATCCATCCATCCATCCGTTCATCCATCCATCCACCAATCCATCTACCAATCCATCCATTCATCAACCCATCCATTCAACCATCCATTCATCCATCATCCATCTATCCACCAATTCATCCATCCATCCATCCATTCATCAACCCATCCATTCAACCATCCATCAACCCATCTATTCAACCATCCATCCATCCATCCATCCATCTATCCACCAATTCATCCATCCATCCATCCATTCATCCATCCACCAATCCATCCACCAATCCATCTACCAATCCATCCATTCAACCATCCATCCATCCATCATTCAACAATCCCTCCCTCCATCAACCCATCTATTCAACCATCCACCCATCCATCAATCCATCCATCCATCCATCCATCCCTCAACCCATCAATTCATCAATCCATCCATCCATTCATCCATTTACCAATCCACCCATTCATCCATCCATCAACCCATCCACTCAACCATCCATCCTCCCATCCATCCATTCATCCATCCAACAATCCCTCCCTCCATCAACCCATCCATCCATCCATCCATCCATCCATCCATCCATCCATCCACCAATCCATCCATTCATCCATCCATCCATCCATCCAACAATCCCTCCATCCCTCAACCCATCAATTCAACCATCCATCCATCCATCCATCCATCCATCCATCCATCCATCCACCAATCCATCTGTCAATCAATTTTCTTCCACCTATCCGAGGTCGGTTGTAGGGACAACAGGCGAAGTAAATAAACCCAGACTTGTCTCTCCTTAGCAACGTTTTCCGGCCCCTCCTGGAGGATTTCAAGGCGTTCCCAGGCCAGATGGGATATATAATCCCTCCAGTGAGCTCTGAGTCACTGGCATGTATTAGTGTATATATGTGTCTGTTCTTGCATCTCTTACTCCGTTCAGACCAACTTCACAAGTTTTAACTTTACAATAACAATGTGATTCAATTGATCTTTTACCTCCATAAGCAGTATATTTGATGATTTTGCTCTTCCAAAGATTTTTTCCATATTCAACAAACATGACATGAAATAGTTTTCAAAGGAACACAGGAAGCCTTCACCTTGGAGGGTAGAGAAACAAAAGAAGACAAATTAAGATTTGTACTGTTTTTTAGACATTTCAAAGTTAATGTTACACAAATAAAAGTTCAAACACATTGTTAATAGAGCTCAAAAATGTGTTTCCAGGTGTAACAATCCCATTCATGTTCTCCATAGCGGATTTGATTATTGACCATGATGTCATAACCATCCAAGGTAGACTTACCACGAGCTACCTGAGTGTGAAACGAGTACGTACGGTATCAACCTTGTTTTAAGAAAAACATGGTTAATTCACATTATCAGGGAAAATAACTACACTACCCACAATCTAAGAGTGCCATAGCAACATCTCTGATTGGTGGAGACTGCTGTTGTTACCATGGAAATGGTTACACAAGCCCCCAAACTTTCGTCTGTTGGCTGCTACCACTGAAGTCCTCAGAAGTTCGACCCACTATATAAACACAAACTACAATATATAGCAACATAAAAATAAACAATGTAAACAAGACAATTAAGATAAATGTAGAAGCTCTGTGTCTGTTCAGAGAGAGTTGAGTCTCGTTGGAATCGCAATGCATTGTGGGATGTGTAGTTTCTTCACTCCTGGACAAATTATGTACACAGTCTTGTGCCTTTGCCTTTTTTCAAATTTTCAATCATTTCTTTGCGCCGAATCAAAAGTTTAGTAACCATGAGTATTAAGGCACCTGCTTGGCTTGATTCCAGGACTAAAATATTATAAGGATTTTCTGAAACGTCAACGGAGGATTTGAATGGAGAAATTCACTTCCGGGACCAGAGCTGCTGAAAAAGTGGGCGGTTACTGTTGAGCTCTATACTGTTGCTGGCCCTGCAATGACAGATGGCCTGTGTGTGTGTGTGTGTGTGTGTGTGTGTGTGTGTGTGTGTGTGTGTGTGTGTGTGTGTGTGTGTGTGTGTGTGTGTGTGTGTGGGTGTGTGTGTGTGTGTGTGTGTGTGTACGTGCAAGTTTGTGAATGTGAGGGAAAGCGCTGAATGAGATGGATAATGGAACCATTAATTCTGCAGAGTGAGGAGTGCCAGCTGGGTGCAGCTGCAGTGTACAGGCTGGCACACAGAGGGCGACGGATAGAGAGAGAGGGAGGGAGAGAAAGTGATGAGGTGGTAGAAGATGAGATGAAGGAGCCGGTGAAGGTGATAGAGGGAGTGAGACAGAAATGAAGAAATGACAAAAGGGCCAACCGGATTAGAGCAACAAGAGAGAGAGAGAAGAAGAGACGTGTGAGACAAAGAGGGAGTTTAGAGGAACATTTAATTTAATTAGAAAGGTGTATATTATCTTTTCTGATAGAAGTAGATCAAAGAGAAACAATGAGGGATGGATGACCCTAACTTGTAGTATCACTGTGCAGCAATGAGTCCGTTATGGACTTGAGTATCCCGGTTATGAGCCTCCTCCTGGTTTTGATCATATTCAGGATCATGGTGTTTACATGCATACAGACGGTGTGGTTATTCATATCCCTGTATACACGATGAACACAAGAATCCTGGTTTCTGATTATTGCATCTTATTGTGCAGACGCCTGTGATATTTATTTTTCACAACACAAACCACAGCAATTTAGAAATCAGAGGAAAAATGAGACACAAAAACAAGATACTTAAAATACCCGATCAAACCCAGGAAACTCAAAA